AAAATTTGCTCGCAATCCTGGGATGACTCCACCAAGTACTTGTTCGATACCTTGAATGGGTTACAGCGGCGCGCGATCCGCATTATAGGCGATGAAGAGGTGACTAAACACCTAGAGCCTCTACAATTACGCCGTGACGTGGCGTCACTAAGCACGTTCTATCGTCTGTACCACGGCGAGTGTTCTGAGGAGTTATTCTCTCTTATCCCACCTTCCCCTTTCCTTCATTGGACCTCGCGCGCTGACCTACGTTGTCACCGACTAACTGTGGCCACAATTCCAACGCTTACAAAGAAATTTCTTCACTCATTTTTTTGTTGCACTATCCATAGATGGAATGCGCTGACCGCTCACGTATTCCCTCCCTCTTACAACCTGGGATTCTTTAAAGGAGGCGTGAAGAAGCAACATGCAGGCCGGCAGGGTGAGGATGGCTGGTGTGGCAGGTGAACTGCTGTATCAGCTATCGCGTCTGGACTTCACCGTTACTTATATAACTCGAGATTTTTTTATGTGGATAATCCAAACCCTACTTATAAAGGTCCACTAAAATGACGAAGCCCTTCGGGAAAAGTTACGTGGAGCCCTTGCACTTTGCTTGGCTCGTCTTGTCGTGTTGGTGGAGGGCACGGTTGCGTTGATATTGAATTCGAATTTTGAATTTGTATAAGTTATAGGGAAGGTGAATACGTGTATACATACTAAGTGATAGTGAAGAGGTCAGGTTAATTGGGATATCAAAAAAAAATCATTGATACAAATTAGCAAATGGTGCATAGAAATAAGCTTGAGTTAACTTCAGTGACATATTTAACAAGTTTTCTAGATGTGATATTATAAATACCATAACAAAGGCTGAACCATACTGTATACTTAACAATTTAACCAACAGTTCTCACAAGAATTCTCTGTAGGTAAGTACATTACCACAAAATAACAAATGAATCACATTCTTAATAAAATAGGGGCTAATAATTAACGTTGTTAAAGTTCTCTCGATCATTAATATCGATTAATCGTGTAGGTTCATTATGTATCTACATTATAAAAAATCGAAAACGGAAACAAAACAATAATATCCTAATAGTTATCAATGGTATAAAATATCAAATTTGCTAAAATAAAAAAATCTCTTCATTGTTTTACGTTTATTTACTTCTATCAAATAATACGATAAATTTCACTCCGGTAATAAGTTTGCATCCACGGAGCACGGATCTGTATACAAACACACGCGACCCGTAGGACGCCCAGTTTCGTCTCTCCCATGCACCCAAAACGGGCCCCTCAGGTGTCGCGCGATCTCGCAAATTAAGATGCCTACTGGATGCAAGATAATCATCGTAGAGAATTGATAAAAACTTTTTTAAATATATATAGGAAGACGCAATAAAATCTGTAAATTGAACCCGAAATATACATTGCAAAATATACACTGCACGGTAGCGCCCTCCAAATTCCGCACGGTCAATGGTTGCACTATGAAATACGTTAAAAAGCATTCTGGTGATGAAATTGAGTCCACGCCAAATTTTTGCCCATGCATTCTATGCATGAAAAGACGTCTTTGCACCAAAAATGAGGCTAGGTTAATCTTGCGTCCGTATACCGGACGCATCAAGTCGGTCGGACGCAGGATCAATAGCAAAAATCGCCATATAAGACGCAATATGATCAGCAAGATGTATATATATATATATATATATATATATGTCGACGATGAATAACTTTCGCGATCTTTTTATTCCATACAAAACAAATACAAATAAAACGAAACGAAAATATATCGAGTAAGATTCTGTCCATTACTAGAATAATCTTTACCTTTACTGCGTCAGCTGACTGTCTTTCCACCGCTATATACGCAGCTGATTGTTATTTTTGTACTTATGATTATTTAAAGAATCACGTAGTTCAATTTCATCCGACGTATTATAACTTTATTTTACGTTTTTTTTTTACAAATTCATGCGGCCAGCTGACGCATAATCCCCCCTTCACGATGCAGCTGACGATTTTTTTTCAGCTCAGTATGATGTCAACTATTCGTGAAAAAAGTTTGAGCTGGCGTACTATTACTTAATTTTTTATTTTTTTTTACCACTTCCGCAACCTCCCAATTCCACACCCACCGCGGGTGCGCCAGCTGACGCTTGGTTCAGTTATAAGTAGTTCGCGATAAATAGTAAAGGAAGGCAAACAGTCGGCGTAAAATCACTGCCAAAAATGCAACGCTACCTCCCGGACTATTACTTCCAATTGCCGCCACATTTATAAAGATCCTTGTCGCACCGTAAAATGTGCCTTGCACACTCGCGCTGACACACCATATGAACTTGTAGGCTTTATGGCCTACCTTAAAAATCTTAAAACAAGGCGGCAGGTTGCGAATGAATTTAATAAGATTTAATTTATCACACACATCATACAGGTAGGTATAATTACAATTGGTTTTCATATGTGCTTTTAACAGCCTAAACTGAATAAATGATTATGGTTATAATTTTTATTATTTTTAAAGCATGTAACTGCTTGATGTTTAAATCTAAAGAAAATATAACTAGAAAAAATTCCACGCGGACCAGGCAGCAGACGGGACTCGAACCCGCACCCTTCGCAATCCGGGCGAATGCACTGACCAATTATGCTACCGCGGCCCTCACGGACCGCGTCGAAATTCTTTCTAGCTATTCTTAAGCTGCAAGGCAGCGCCATCTCTTCGCATTATAGGTAAACCCACAATGTCAAATGAATACTTTTACAAGTATTAAACATTTGAAAGAAGAAATAGCAATTATAGTTATAATTTTTATTATTTTTAAAGCATGTAACTGCTTGATGTTTAAATCTAAAGAAAATATAACTAGAAAAAATTCCACGCGGACCAGGCGGCAGACGGGACTCGAACCCGCACCCTTCGCAATCCGGGCGAATGCACTGACCAATTATGCTACCGCGGCCCTCACGGACCGCGTCGAAATTCTTTCTAGCTATTCTTAAGCTGCAAGGCAGCGCCATCTCTTCGCATTATAGGTAAACCCACAATGTCAAATGAATACTTTTACAAGTATTAAACATTTGAAAGAAGAAGAACAAGAAGAAGCGCTGCCTTGCAGCTTAAGAATAGCTAGAAAGAATTTCGACGCGGTCCGTGAGGGCCGCGGTAGCATAATTGGTCAGTGCATTCGCCCGGATTGCGAAGGGTGCGGGTTCGAGTCCCGTCTGCTGCCTGGTCCGCGTGGAATTTTTTCTAGTTATATTTTCTTTAGATTTAAATGATTATGATTATTATATTTATTTGTAACAGAAAGTGTGTGATCTGGAGCCTAAGCTAGGGCAACCCTGTATTGCGTATCTACCTCGGTACCGTCATCATCATCATCAGCCTTATAATATCCCCACTGCTGGGGCACAGTCCTTCCATATGGATGGAATAGGGAGATTGGGCCATGACCCACCAAGCGGGCCCAGTGCGGATTGGTGGGTGCTAACGACTGCAGATGCAGCCGGGACCAACAGCTTAACGTGCCTTCCGAAGCACGGAGGAGCTCGAGATAGTGAATTTTTGGTCACCCATCCAATGACCGACCACTCCGAAACTTGCTTAACTTCAACGATCGCAGCCGAACGCACTAACCACTTGCGCCATCGAGCTCCTCGGTACCGTACCACTTGCTTATAAGTGTGTTTGTATGCAAAAGCCTATATTTGAATGTAAAATTACTGCTGCCGTATCATAAATACAACTCTGGCTACGGTCCTGTGTAAATCTAATGCGTTTCTGAGAAAATTGGTCAAACAGACGAACAACTTAAAGTGATCCAAAAGTAGAGGGTCTGTTTTTTAACAGGATTGTCCAAAAGGCATTATTTTTCTTTTGAGGTTAGTACGGAAACCTTTTTACATAGTCGGTTGTATACAAAGCAAATACATACCAAAATCATCTACCGGAACAACTTCACATGGTCCCTACATTTTAACTTTCTACCTACATCTGATACAATAATTTTCGAAACTTCTGGGTGGCGCAGAATAAACACCAATCACAATATTTTTTGCTCTTATAATTGAAAGATATTTATGGACTTCTGTACTAAATGTGATGACGTTTTCTAGGTATTAATAGGTATTTTGTATCACAAAATATGGAGCAAGACCAATGTGTATAAAAGTTCTTGAAGGTGTGACAATGTGTGTGCTCAAGAACTGTTCGAATTGATTCTACCTACACGTATTTACCATCGAACAACGAGACGTGGACTTTTACGTGTTTGACATAATTATCTCCTCTGCGCACCTCACGATTCGCATCCTCTTTTATCATATGAACCTCTAGGGAATGAAATTCCCTTCCTGCGTCTGAATTCCCCTATAGGTACCTACATATAATATTGGGACCTTCAAGGGAAGAGTTAATAAGCATTTTTTTAGTTTCCGTGCTCCAGCGTAGAACGCATTGTTGCTTAACATCAGGTGCGATTGTCAAACACACACTCGAATCTTTTATAAAAATATTGTGGCAGTGGACTTCCATCGGCTGGCGATGATGATGATAAAGAATAGGTACCTACACAAGCAACTAGGTATTTATAATAAAAATACGGATAAAAATGTGATTTTAGTTAATGAACTTCTCATAAATATCGAATTAATAAGTAACATCCAATACGGTTAGATAGAGAAATTCAAATTCAACACGCAAAGGAAACGGTTCATATTTCGCGCAATGTGTGCGTGACTCTAATTTCAGATTATACTAAAGCATTCATATTATCTACCTACCATACGTAGTCTTGGATTAAAACAAAAAGAGCAGCACAAAAAATGTCTACTACGCACTTACATTATAACAAACCCTTTTTGTTTTAATCTAAGTACGTAGTATATTTTTCTTGCGGCGCTCTTCCGTGCAGTCATACGATGTCTAGGGAGTAAGTATAACTTAGATTAAAACAGAGTATTATACAGAAACTGATAAAAATAAAACAAAAGAAGTTTTTAAAAAGAAAGCAATTAATTTATATTTTTCAGTACGTCAACAAAACAACTCCAAGGGCAATAACCTGCTTCGTTGACCTTACAATCAGTTAATTCCATCAAAACGGTTTGTGGCGGATCTTTCATCGATAACTTGGACCCGTCTCTAATCTGATCTCTACTCTGATAAACGTATTCCACTTTCAAAAAATAATACTTGTCATCATCGCTCCACTTCTGGAACACAATTTTCCCGCCAATCGGCGTTATTTCGTATTGGCCAGGCAAAGAATACTTTTTAAATTTCAACGCGGCCATTATCGAATTCAGGTTAGAATCGTGACCAACCAGCATTGTTAACTTTCGCGCTGTATTTTCCGTAAGCAAAGAGTTTTTAATGAAATTCAACATGTGCTTCACGATGTCGCTCGCCAATGTGTGATTGAATCTCACATTCTGATTTTCCCACGTTATTTGCAATAGTTTTCTCCATTGTTCCGATGTAGTAATCTTTCCCCAGGCGATATCTTCGGTTTTAGCACCACTGTAATAGCTCATCAGGAATGAATCTACCAAAGAGTTCCCGATTGACAACGGTCCGAAAATATCCGGTTCCTTCCCCGGTCTATACAATATTTCATCTTTTCTGTTGACCAAATCGCAAAATGAATGTTTCTGGCAGATATCAGACTTCTTTATATCTATAATTTTATCTAACTCTGTATAAGCGTCTTTGAGATTCAAATCATTAAGCTTTCTCTGCATGCTGGCTGTGTATAATTCTTTGAAAACTTCAGATGTGTTGGTTATTACTGGATTAAACACTGGATCCACGGTCGCATTCTTTTTAAAATGAATGCTAACGTTACAGTTTTCGAAAGCACTTTCTGCGAACGCCTTTGCCGTTTCTATTGTCCTTTGCTTGACATTTGAATAAAAAAACACAGAATCTTCACTGGGACATTCGTTCGTGAACAAACCTTCTTTTCTCAACCACTCATTGAAATATTCACCCATGTATCCTTCCAATAAGACTCCTTTTGATGTCAGGTAACCTGCTTTCGTCTCCCATTTCGGGAAAGGATATGGTGTGACATGTTGTAATTTGTCTGTTAGAGGAGTCCGAAGATTATGTCTGCTGAGTACGAAAACTTCTTCCAATTTCAAACAGTCAACTTTTAAAAACAAAAACACAAAAAAGAGCGAAGTAGTAACTGCCGCATTCATTTTTTAAATTGTTTTTTTTTCACACTGGCTTAATAACTCACAGTACCCCAAGCACGAACAACTCTCGTAATCGTATAGTAATGGTATTTGCTTACTATTCGATAACGATTACCATAATGAAGTGGCAGCATGAAACAACGTTATAGTACTATCGTGAACTCGATAGTAATCAAGATAGTATACGATACTATAGTTAACAAAGCGCGTTCATAATTCAATACAGTGTCATAGTAGTTTAAAAATAAATGAAAAAACTTTAAAATTGTTACGATATCTATAAAAGAAAAAGATAATTATTCACATTTGTACAAAATTTTAACAAAATGTTCACTTAAATTTATAGTTGCGACATATTATTAGGGTTTGTTATTTTTTCGGCACCGTCCCAATTTGAATATTTTGAACGTACTCAATTGAATGTCAACTCTAGACGTAATACTATAAACATTATTTTCTTTGTGAAACAAAATCTCTTAGGGCAAAAACTGATGGGGTCAAGTGGAATTCCAGTGAAATTTATTAGGGTGCGCAGGCGCCCGAGACCGCTTCAAGTGCATAAAATGTGCATGTGTAAGAAATTCAAAACATTTGGGTCAAAGATGAAAAGAGTCTTTGTTGTGAAGTGAAACTTCGTATTTGTTTGTAAACCTTCTCACAATGAGGACTAGTCCAACGCAGTTTATAATGATGGTGGATTTCATGGAGAGGTGAGTTCTTTCTTAATTTTTTTAAATGCTTTCTAAATACCTATAATGTTGTGTAAAAGTGATTAAACAAACTTGTGTTATTTGCACAGAAATGGTGATTTAGCAAAGCCCACTGGTGGTCCTAGAGGTCGGCAGTGGGCTACAAACAAATGGAGGGAGCTCTCTACAAAATTGAATAGTGATGGCGCAGGAGAATCTCGGTCGGAAGAAAAGTGGCGAAAGGTTAGCTTTGAATTACTTATTAGCATATAAAAGCAGCGTCCTTTTTTTCATTAAGTTAAGACAGTCAAATATTGTTTTTATTTTATTCTGCTTATATATTTTGTGTTATATTTCAAGACTGATTTGATTGATTGATTTGTATTAGTAAATACTGTGTTGGTTAATTTGACTTTAAACATACAGGTAGGGAATAATATATATTTTTTTTAATATTCTTTATAGGTTTGGACGGACTTCAAAAACAATACGAAGAGAAAAGCAGCTAAGTTAAATAAATCCATGTCTGGTACAGGTGGGGGTCCAGCTTTGAAGATAACCCTCACTGATTTGGAGCTGAGAGTTCTGGCTCTCATGGGAGAGCAAGCTGCCACAGGGATGACAACTATCTCTGAAGTTGGTTTTGAGCATGTAAGTAATGTTTATGTTTATCTGTTGCTTGGTATTTTGCCTTAATACATGATTTTATTTACTTATCTATATACAAAAAATGATTGCCACAACAAAGTTCTCTAGACTTGGTTTATTGAAATTGTCCCCTTGCATTATGTATAGAGGCAAATGTAACAATTTAAGTGAGGTGCTATAAATACAGGTTTAGTTGTAAAATTTGATTACTTAAAGATGATAGACTTTTTTCATATCCACAGTTAGAACAAGAGGTGGAATTGATCTCCCAAAATGTTGACTCCAACCTTGAAGAAGAGACCTATTTGTGGAAGGAGCCCTCTCCCCAACTTGATAAAGGTATGCTAGATTAATCATATATTAACAATAACCGGTAAACTACATTAAATAATAAGTTTTATATAATATTTTTATAGAGACACCAAAGTAAATAAATAGGTTTTGCTGTTATAATGATTTTGCCATAATAGTTATAAATAAATATTCTTCACTCACACCAATAAGGCTCAACCCAAAGTGAGTACCTGTATGCTTGTGTTATGGGATAATAGGATAAGAAATAGAAATATATATAAGGATACATTGATAAGTATGTTTTAGTAAAAATTAATATATACAGCCATGACTCGGATACAAACGCTCATATTCACACAAACATTTGCTTCTATTGGGATTCGAACCTGGTACCTTAGAGTAGTTGACATCTTGAAACCCGGTGTACAATAAAAACGGCAACACAAAGAAATAAAATATAATTTTATATAAATATTACAGGGGACGAAGATTGGAACCTTCCTGGCACCAGCCAAGCTCCAGCACCAGCACCTCCAGCACCATCTCCACCAGCTCCAGCTAAAAAATGGACCCAACCAGCCAAGAAGAGTAGGAATTCAGGAAATAAACGTTTAGAAGATCTGTTTTTAAAGGCCGAAAGGGATAGGGATAAAATGTATTATGAACTGGAAAAAGAGAAAATACGTCAGAGAGATTTTGAGCTCGAACTGCAAGCCAAATGGCTTGCATTCATGAATGAAGCTTTGAGTGTGTTGAAGAAATTCATGGAAGAGAAAAGTAGAGATTAATGATTAATTTTATGATAGAGGTTTGTCTGGGATTTATGAAAGCTAAGCCATTATTAAGGTATAAAATTTAATTAAAATTGTAAATAAGTTCAATATTGGTACATGATAAAATTTATTTCCTGTCTCCTATAATTACTAAGTAAAAGTACAATAAATAATCTTAATTTAATGTAATCTATTTATTCTTTCAACTAACTGACACCTCATTGCTCTGCCTATGCTCAGTAAGTCCCTTGCACTGTCTGTACTTTCCATTGGTGTCACAGGTGTTATTTCATCTTCGATCCTCTCTTGCTCATAGTCTGGATCAGGAACGTTAAAGTTTATAGCCAGATTGTGCAACACACTGCATGCAGTTATAATGCCAGCACATTTCTCTGGTTTATAATGCAATGTTCGATCCTTGCTAAGACATCTCCATCGGTTTTTCAACCGCCCAAAGGTGTTTTCAATCACCACCCTTGTTCTTCCATGTATGGAGGTGTATTTAGCCTCAGGACTATTCTCAGCTGCATCGGTAATGGGTGTCATCAGCCATGGTCTTTGAGGATATCCAGAATCGCCTATAATTGAAGTTTTTTATTGATTTAATTTATCTGGTTGATTACAAACACATATAATTAAAACATAATTATTAATATATTTATTAATTTTATATTAGTTGAGACGGAATGAGCAACCCACCTAGCAACCAAGTTTGTTCATTATTTTGGTACAGTCCTTGCATGTATGTATTAACGGCACTATTCTCCCAAATAAATGCATCATGTGTGGCTCCACCGAATTTTGCATTAATATTTAAAATCCGTCCGTCGCTGTCGCACACCTGTGAAAGACGTCTTTATAAATTACCTGTTTCACATTCTTATAAGAATCCTGTAACTACCTACTTTTAATACTACTTAAATAGGAAAACAAAAAATCATAAATGATACCACTATGGGAAGTGGCCACCATCGTCTATACATTATGACCGTCTCATGTATTAGCAATTTTATCCACACAAAGCTAAATAGGACGTCGGCGGATGTGTTTGCCCACCCAGAAATAGATTTTATGCAATAATGTGTGTTTCTTATTACTAAAATTTTTGACCTTCTTACCATTTGCACATTTAAAGAGTAATAATGTTTTCGACAGAAGAAAAGATGTTCTATGTCCTTTGGTGGTGAAAATATATGAAAATGTGAGCCATCTATGCACCCAAGAACTCCAGGAAAACCATATTGTGTATAAAACCTGAAGAGAATTCAAAACATTAAAAAAGTTGGAAAACTAAGTGATATCACTCATATATACTTAAATATATTTATCTTACTTCTGCCTAATAAGATCCCTTTCAGCTCTAGTAGTAGGAAATTTTATAAATTCTTTCAATACATCTCGATTGTTGAGAGCATTAGTCACATCTTGGACATATTTGCTCACAGTGGTCTGTCCCAAATGCTTGGCCATACCAACAATTAGTTGATAAGAACCTGTTGCATAAAAAGAGAGAACGCACAAAACCTGTAAAAAGCAATTTAAGCAGAATAAGTACATAGGTAAGTGTAATAAAAGTTTATTAAAATAGTTTTTGTTTTTCAACCTACCATATGTTCTAAACTGACTCTTTTGCTAGATTTTAGGGAGGTTTTTTCTCGAAGTTTAGAACATAAATAATGGAAAGCTGCTTTATTGAGACGGTATCTATTTATGAACTCTCTTTCGTTTAAAGTTATGGGCTTCAACACCTTCCTCAGTAAAGTTCGCTGATGAATTTCTCTGTTTAGACAAAATTTAAAGATTATTTTAGGTACTAACCTACATTGTTTTGATAAAAATAGTATTATTTTGTAAGCTTTACAAAAAATAGAATAAAAAATTATTAATTTACTTACCTTTTGATTTCATCTTCTTCTTCTCTTAAATTATTTAGTAAACGCCAAAGGAGGTAATAACTACGCGAAGGACGGTTCGTTAATAACATTGACATGATTTTTAGACACTAAAACTACCTTTTATCAATAAATTATTAATTTTATAGTCCAAAGCAATCTTAACGAGAGTTCTCTCACTGTAAAATTCTCAGTGAGTGCTAATACGATAGCTAGCTGTCGAAATAAACGATACGATCCGTCAAAAGTGTGTTCGTGCTCCAGTTTTCCATACTTTACCTATCGTTAACTATACCATTACGATAACGATTACGAGACTAATAGGTTCGTGTTATTGAATTTTAGTTCCTTAAACGACCGTAGCGGCGCTTATCTGGTTTTCATACAAAATAATACCATTACGATTACCATAACCAGAACGATTGCGGTTCGTGCTAAGGGTACTGTTTTCACTTGTTAATCAGTGGCATGTATTGTTCGAATCATTTATTAATAAACCGACGAAGACTGTTATCAGTAAAACGATTAAGTTTTCTGTGCCTATGTTCTGTGAACAAGCCCGCGTTCTAAGCTGCACTGAATTATTGTGTGCGTGTCGGTCGATCTACATTTCGTAAACTGCGAATGATAAAAGGAAACGTGGACTCATTTACACCGTGACGCAGCTTATTTTCTATTATACATTTGTGGACCATCAGACGTTCAGTAGAGTTTAAATTAATAGGCAAACACAATTTGTATTGAAATTAATGATTTGAAATAATAACTTCTTAATAGCTACTTATTATAGCTATTTTATTCTGACAAGATACCGATCGCTGGGGCTTCGTTTCTGAACTCCAAAGGTGGCAGGAATTCATGTATACAGTTATAAATAATGTGGAAGTTAAGCAACTTTCGCAATAGCCGCTAATTGGATGGGTGATTAAAATTTATCATCGTTGTGATTTCGAAAGCACGTTTAGCCGTTGGTTCGTACTTCACTTGCAGTCGTTAGCACCCTCCAATCCGCACTGCGCCCGAGTCGTGAGTCAAAGCCCAATTTCTCTATTACACCCATAAGGAAGGTATGTGCCCCTACAGTGGGGACATTATACAATACAACATATTATATTCAAATTAAAAATTAATATGGCAATACGTTCGTCCCCGTTCATTCTTACTGTAGGTTGCAGACTGTATTCGCTATGGTGTCAATGTATGACGGACCTGTTTTATTGCAAAATTAAATGCAAGCAAAATTCAAATTAGTTAACTGATGAATCGGTGATATTGAATAGATATTTTCGAACTTACTTACCTTCAAATTTATTAATGTGCCTACATATAGGGGAGAGTGGGGATATTGCGGACACCTAAGGGAATCCTTAAATAAAAGATAAAGTATAATCTGAAATCAGTCTTTCTTTATTAAATATTAAACTTTGGTGTTTACCTTATAAAATTAACAGATATAAATATTAAAAACTAATCAACTTCAATATTCTTTTATCAAAAACAAAACCCTTGCTGCCCGTATTTACCCGGTAGGCTTCGGGTAAATACACACAGCATGTGGGGTTACTACGAATGGCACTGTCATTGCAGTTGCGACATTAAAAAAGTTTGAAACGCAACAATAATACAAAAAAATAATGAACTATCATTATTTGTCGCTACAGAAATCGCAAATATAGCCTCAGCTTGTACTCCCACCTGTGCAATTGTCATGTGACCATTACGGTCCGACACGATACGTCCGTATTTTCCCCAAGACAACAGTCCGTAATTAACCAAACTGGATGTCAATATTTCGCAGCAAAAAATTTTAGATTAGGTAATTATAGTCTTGTTTATTATTCCACATTTTCAGAGGTGATTAACAGTATTAATACATATCTTATACAGATTTTAAGTTAAATAAATATTATAACATTGACACGCAACTATAAACGAAAAAAAAATACAAGAAACCACTTCAAAATAGAGAATTAATCTTGAAATCGTGACATCAATCCGGGCACTAAAGATGGCCAACTCGACTCCCTTATGAAAGTAGCGGGGCGCGGGGTTGGCTAGAGCAGCAAATACAACAGTGTCCGCATTTACCCGATGTCCGTAATTACCCCACTCTCCCCTTAAGGATCCAAGGCTCCACGTAGTAGGGAATGCGGTGATGATACTTTGGTATCGCAAGCGTCTGGCCATTGCGGCCACTTTGTATGTTGAAAGGGTGGCAAGCAAGCGTATGGCCGACCTGATGGTAAGCGGCCACCATAGCCTATATACCGAATATATCACTAGTACCGTTGCCTACGACTGATCTAATCCCTACACCGCGGAGCCCTAGAACCATACTCACCGACAGAAACACAACATCGTCAAAAAGGTAGTGTTATTTTACTGTGATCTTCTGTTTGTTGAGGTTACTGTCCCAGACTAGCACTCCAATTCCAGCGGGAAATCCGCTATACTTAGCTTAGTATCATTGTGCTTGACGACCTCCGTGGCCGAGTGGTTTGTACGCCGGGTTTCATGGTATCGCCGACTCGAGGTCCCGGGTTCGAGTCCCGGTGGGGCCAGATGTTTGTGTGGTGAATACAAGCATTTGTAATTTGTACTCCAGTCATGGATGTTTCATATATATTTCTATTTAAATATACTTATATATATATGTATTAGTATATGTATTCTATCCGTTACCGTAGTATCCCCATAACACAAGCCTTAGGCCGTATACAGAAAGAAAGCCGAAAGCCGATCGGCGCCGATCCTTCCTACTTAAAGGAAGCCGATTAAAGCAGATCAAGCAAAATGTCGGACTCATCGGACGATGATTTGGTTTTGTTAGAAAATGTTTATTTAAAAATGCGAAAAACAGCTATACATCCTATAAATAGAGAAAGGAAACGTTTCGGAGAATACCATCATTTATTTGTAAAAAAAATTAAATTTGATGAACAAAGATTTTATACATATACAAGAATGATTCAAGAAACATTTTATTACATTTTGGATTTAGTGAAAAACCGTTTGATGAAAAATTGGGGCAATTGGCATAAACAACCAATCCTTCCAGAAGAAAGACTTGTTGTCACCATTCGGTAAGTACGAAACAAATAATTTTAGCGCTTAGTTAATAAAAGATAAAGTTATTAGATTTATAAAAAGATTTAATTTAAGGAATTATTTTTCAAATACAAATTATTTATTATTCGGACCAGCGCGTGTCGGCGCTTATCGGCGCCGGTCCATAGAAAAAGGATCAGCGCCAATAGGCGCCGATAAGCGCCGATCGGCGCTGATCGGCTTTCGGCTTTCTTTCTGTATACGGCCTTACAGTGCTTACTTTGGGGCTAGGCTAATTGGTGTGAGTGTTGGAAATATTTATATTTATTTATTTAACATAAAAATAAATAAAAGCCAGACTTTGGGTTGTATCGTTGTATCGCCGATCGGCGCTGATCGGCTTTCGGCTTTCTTTCTGTATACGGCCTTACAGTGCTTACTTTGGGGCTAGGCTAATTGGTGTGAGTGTTGGAAATATTTATATTTATTTATTTAACATAAAAATAAATAAAAGCCAGACTTTGGGTTGTATCAGTCGGGAAGTTTGTCCCTTAAATCCCGAACTTGACTATTTCGATCTGTACCCTTAGCACGAACCAATATCAAATACGAATAGTTTGCGAGTCCGAATTGTCATTATCAAATTTTGTAAACTTGAACAGCAGCGCCATAAAGGACGTAACGAGAACTAAAAATCAGTACACATTTGACAATGACATTTCGAACTCGCAAACTATTCGAAAAAAACTATCCACCTCCAGTGATGCATGAAAATCTTGGTCAAACAAACGAAGATCGATGTAAATGAACCATTTTGCTAAACAATTAAAGTGGGTGAAGGTCATACTGAGTAATTTAAATAAAACACGCCCCGATAGATAACATTTTATTTTCATTACAAATGCTATTTATAAACACTTATTCATCTTTATCACAAGGTTTTATTATTACTAAACACAATGATATATTAATAAACATAACCTATATCCTTACATAACCTAATCTTAAGCGCAGTAGGTAAGACATCAAAAATAAATTTTCGTTTGGGTCATTATTTACTTTAAACATTTCAATTTATCCATGTACCTGAGACACAGCGTTGCCAGATACACTGTAATTACAGCAGATCTACTGTATTTTCACACGATCTACTGTACACTGTAATACTAAATTTACAGTGTATGGAGAACACTGTAATTTTTCTAAGGGCTAAAATCTTTTCGGAGAGCGTTCGAGAATGAGTTTAAAACTTACCGGACTATTTTTCACCGGATCTCGAAAGCACTCGTAGTTTAATGTAAGTAAACTGAAGGCAGCCTTTGTAAAAAAAGATTATTACGAAATTGTCGAAAGGCAACCCCACCGCACCTCTCTACTTATGACACGACTCTTGTTACTATTGAAATAAGAACGGAAATGGCTTATTTTAAACGGGCATAAATAGTGGCGCGGTTTATACTATGCGGGAATTCCCCGGGCGTAGACTAGGAATCATTTCGTAAAGTAGGTACGTAGTATTAAGCGCCCAAATTTTGTCAACCGTGTTTAAGCACGAGTTGCATTAATTTTAAACCAACTGAGAAAATGTTAAAATCATTTCATTCGGGGATCTACAAAAAAGAAAAGGCTGTCGGGCTAAATGATAGTGACAGTGATTAATAAGTGGTTGGTTAGTCAACTAGAAAGTGTATTTTCATTTAAATTTACATAATATAAGTTTCTTGATATCTGCTGTAAAATTTACTGTATATTTTTTTTACTTTTACTGTATTTTTGTCTCAAACACTGTATTTTTTTGCACCCCACACTGTAATATCAGTTTCCTCATCTGGTAACACTGCTGAGACATGTTGATTATTTAAAGTAAAACTTGTTTTTGGTAGCTTAAAATATTATGTACCTAACAGACTTGCGATATCAGAATATCACTATGATCATAAATAGGCTAGCTGACTCATGTCAAATTGCACTATACAAATGTTGATTTCTTATAATTTTTGGTATGAGGAACCTAAATACATCGACTTCACTTCATAAAATTAGAAGATGGCTGTAGTAACTAATTTAATTTGAAAAATAGTTTTTTAGTTAGTTTTCACATAAAACGCGAGGTGCGGCAACAGTCCTGCTGTCGAGCGTTCGCGGTACCGGCACGGTAATATTATCTATACAGTATTGTGACTCCGCCCTGTCCTTGAAAATAAATGCCTACACCGAGCGCTGCGTTGGCACGCGGTAGGGCCGCCAGCCTACAGTATTTTATGTAGTTTTGTTTTTAACGCGAGTGTAGGTAGATTACTCGTTTGTCTCTTTTTTCATCCTAACCACTTATTTATATATTATTCCAGATATTTTGCCCGATGGAAAAACCGAAATACCTAAATATTAGAAACAAATAACGTACTAGTAGATAGGTATATAAAAAATATTCTGTAAAGGTAAGGCACCTTTCCAATAATTCAGGTAATTTAAAAAATGATATCTCTGGGTGTGTTATTGATGAGTTCAAGCAACCAAAAACAGCAATTGTGCTGTTGTACGATATTGATCGTCGTTTGTTCTTTTCCATACTAAATTATATAGGTATCTACTTAATTAAATCAAATATTTACAATACAAAACGCACGTTTAAGCACGGCTAACTGCATAAAAAACAAAAAGACCGTTCGGTCGTCGTTGCGGCGCGGCGGCGCATTCGCGACTGGGTGCCCGCCGAGTGCACATCGAACTCGAGTGGCGTAGGTATGACTCGCTTTCCGACCGTTTGTATGAAGACAGAATACTGTATGATATTATTACCGTGGTACCGGCGCCGCACTGTTGCCGCATCGCGCTTTTTGTGTGAAAAAAAGGATCGTCCATACGCTGTACGACAAACGCACCGCTTCGGCACCGCAGCAGGCCGTCAAGAAACGCATAAATTGAAAGCGCCCTAAACGCGACCACCAGTTACAGCCACTTTTGGCTGTCTATTAATATCGATTACTATCATGTTGTAATATTGTTGTAATATTACTATCATGTTGTAATAACATTATGTTTAATTATGAAAAAAAAGAAATATCAAAATTCATCAAATTCACTTCTGGTTGTATTCCGTTAATTTCCGTCGAGAGCTTACAATAGGGTTCGAAGGCGTTTGTGAAATGGGTAGACTATAGAGTTCGTTGTTGTTGATTGAATAATTAACAGAGACTTGAAAAACGTCGTTGAATTCAAAACAATTGACGTCCAATTCATCGTCATTACTGGGTTCATCCAAATCACCTTTTTTTTTGACCCGGAGAAATGCCTTAGGGGAACACCGGGTAATGAGAGCGGTCGGGCAATGGGAGCTATGGTGATTGAACGGAATGTAGGCAAGTTTGCGCGATCGTAAGCACTCGGCTACCTCCGTCAACTCTCGGCAATCGTCACCTGACGCGCTCGAACCGTTAGTGCCATTCGTTTAGTCACGAGGGACGGTTGCGTGTTTTTCGCTTCACGCTTATGAGAAATTGCCGATTGCCAGCATCAAGGTAAGCATGAAATTATATTCTTATTTTATTGAATTTATGCTTATCATATCCCTAGATTCGTTTACAAACAAGTCCAATTAGTTGAATTGCGATTGAAAATAGAATTACATATTTATATTATTACTTTTCAAAATGGTGGTCAGCGGCTAATGGTAGCCTAGCTAGGCTCTCACTACCCGACATAGCTACCATTACCCCAGTTGATAAAATGCTTCGTTTTTTTTTTGTTTTAGATGCCACGTAAAAGGACTCGAACAACCACAAAAGCTTCTTGGACAGTGGATGCATTAGAAAATGCAGTATCTGTCCTCAAAAGAGGAGGCAGTTCGGTGTACAAAGTATCTCAACAAACTGGCATTCCTTACAGCACTCTAAAGAAGAGATACAATTTAGCGAAAGCTGACGATAGTAGCTACAAAAATTCTCCTAAACTAGGAAGACCCACTGTATTTAACGTTGCCCAAGAAGAAATACTGGCTAACCATCTTCGGACTATGTCAAATAAATTTTATGGTTTGACAAGAGAACAGTTTCGCAAAGTATGTTACAGTGTAGCTAAACAACTAGGTATTGAGAAACGATTTAACCAAGACAAACAAACTGCAGGAAAAGATTGGCTGGCTGGATTTTTGCAGCGTCATCCAGATTTAAGTATAAGAAAGCCTGAAGCCATCAGTATCAACCGAATTCTCGGATTTAATAAGACTGAGATAACGCTTTTTTTCAATAACTTGGAGAAATTGATGGAGCAACATAAATTTGAACCTCAAATGATTTACAATGTAGACGAGACTGGTATAACGACTGTCCAAGAGACTGAAAAAATTATAGCTCCCAAAGGACAGAAACGCGTCGGGTCTGTAACGTCATGGGAGAGAGGTAAGACGGTCACAGTAATATGTGCTATGAGTGCGGCTGGATCTTTCGTTCCTCCGCTTTTCATATTTCCCCGGCAACGTCACTCACCGCAACTGGAAAGAGATGGACCATTGGGAGCCGTTTACACATGTTCACATAATGGCTGGACTAACGAAAAGATATTTGTTTTATGGCTTCGTCATTTTATTAAACACGCCAAACCTGCTGCTGAAACACCCGTGTTGCTAATATTGGATAACCACAATAGCCATGCTACTCTCGAAGCTTGGGAATTGGCAAAAGAGAACCATGTCATAATGCTAACCATTCCTCCACATTCATCCCACCGTCTACAACCCCTTGACGTTGCATTTTATTCCCCTCTTAAAAGAGCTTATAACAAAGAGTGCAACTTGTATATAAAATCAAGAAATTTGATAAAAATTACTCCATACGACATTGCTGGACTGTTTAACAAAGCTTATACTAGAGTTGCTTCTATAGAAAAAGGAGTATCGAGCTTTAAATCAACAGGAATATTCCCTATGAATCCTGGAGTTTTTTGTGATGATGACTTCATTAATGAGGAATCCAGATCAGCTGTGCCAGTGGCTGACGCTCAACAGCAGCCAACCAATGTCACTCCTATTCCATCAACATCAAATCAAGCTGAGCAACCATATGCTAGCCCTGCAACAAGTCCATCTATTTTTTGTGATCTGCAAATTGAACCGGAAATTATTCAAAGGGAAGCTGCTGCAACTCCAGTTTCAATTCCACCGACATCATATTCAACACCAGAACTGCCTGCTAGTCTGGAGACACACACTATCAGACCTATCGCAACCCCGCCCAATATTGACTTTGCTAATGTTGTCTCCATTGTCAGCCCACTGCCTCAACAACTTATCTCTCAAAAACAAAAACCGTTGAAGAACAAACAGCATTCTGAAATAATAACAAGTTCTCCAATGAAAGCAGTATTTGAAGAAAAGAAGAGAAAAAGAACTGAAAAGGAGAATAAGACAAAGACAATTAAGAAAAATAAAGGAAACTGTGATAAAGAAAATTGTGTCAAGGGAAAATGTCCCAAAGGAAAATGTATTAAGAAGAAACATACTAAAGATAAAGAGATTAAAAGCAAGAGGACTACAACCAGAAACACAAGGGTTAGAAAGGCAACAAAATATTTGTGTGAAAGTGATGATGAAAACTCATCTCTTGATCAAATCGACGAAAATGCTATCTGCGATGATGAGTCAGAATATTCTGAAGAGGACAATTTATGTGCAATTTGTTTAGATAATGGAAAAAGTGGAGAGATGTGGTACCGATGCAGAAGTTGCGGAAACTGGGCTCACAAAGAGTGTTCTGGCAGTGATAGCCCAGATACTTATATTTGTGAATTTTGTTTGGATCCGTAAAGTCTGGATCTTTTGTTTTCCATTAATAATTTCATATTTTATCACCGTTTTGTTTGATTTTTTTGTCATTTTAATTTGTGTTACAAATAGTTTTATTTTATTGATAATTATAATAACTAATGTCTCATTTATAGTACGTTTTGCTATTTTTTTTTCTTTAAGAGTAATTGTAATGGCTCTCATTTCCCATATGAGCGTTAAGTGGGCTCTCATTAGCCGCATTTGTCGGGTAATAGGAGCGACTGACTTTTTTTGTAAAACTGTCATTGTACCTTAATATATGTCTGTGATTGATTATAACTACAATTATTTTATTCTCTTATAATAAAGATAAGAGTTTATAATAAAAAAATACAAGAATTTTGAGTAACGTGGTTTTTATTACAACTTTCCCTTAGTAGGCTCCCATTGCCCTGTTCTCCCCTACTCATACCCCGCCGCTAGGTAGGCTACGGGGTAGGCACTCAGCCAACCCTAGGGCTAGCTCAGTGGCTGCTCGGGATGGGAGGGTCCTGCCCAATAAAACTCTGGGATGTGCTCTCCTTGCCTTAGGTGGTGGCATGGGATCGTTACTGGGAATCAACCACGCATCCAAATCACATCTAACTTCTCGCCGAGGCTATAAAAAGTGGGAAAAAACTCGCCCGCAGCTTGTGGTCGCGTTTAGTGGCCGCGACTACTTGCTCAATGTGCGGTTGCGCTTAGAGCTTTGGAACCATCTTGTTTTAGGGTGGATTAAAGAAAAGAAAAGTACGTTAAGATTAGGCGCACAATCACAGGGATTAATTTTATGATAAAAGTATTGTCAGATGAATTCATAACTACATGATAAATAACTTACGACATAGAAGGTTATACTAATTAGGGAACCATTCATAAATCTAAACTTACCTATTAGGATTATGTAGGTCATACTTATTGCTGCTCTTTTGAAGCAAAAGCCAAGATTACATTTAGCGTTTAAATTCTGCGTAGCAAAAGCAAATTTAAAATTATATAGGGTATTTTCATTATTAAAAATAAAGTGCCAATTGTTATCATCTGTGTTTAGAATGAATATTGACAGGGGTTTTTACTATTTTTACAAAAAGAAATCATAATTTTACTAAAAAACCCACGAAAAAGATAAACTTCCGTTTAAAGTGACATTGCATTGTATCGTTTGACGTTTTAATAACAGTCGTGTGACGTCACACACTAGTAAGACGCCATATTGTCCAGAAAAACGTTTTCTCGGCAAATTGAAAATGGAGTTTTTGATTTGGTTATTTTTACTGAAATACACAACAGAATGATGAATATCCACATTAAATGACTCCATAAACATTAGTCAATAACGTGAGATCGTTTTCTAAAACTTGTCAAATACCCTATTCTATTATGTAAGGGCGCCTTTAGTTTTTTGGTAGGTAGTAAGTATATTTAACTTTTCAGATTCATTAATCATTAAATTAATTAAATTTTGGAATATTACAATATTGGCATCGGCATCGTGATGAAAATGTCCAGACAGACATTAAGGTTTAAGGTGTAAACATTTATATGTTTAATGGGAATAATTTTTACCGAATTCGAGACTCACGTGATTTTAATGGACTTTCCCTAAAATATAGTTCACTACGATGATACAGAGATGTTGATGTCCATTTTAAAATAAATGGTACCTTATCTTAGAGTATATTTTAATTTATGGTATATTATAATGCTCGCTTTAGTCAATTATTGTTTTGGTTTTATATTACAAATTATAGTTGTTAATTATTGTATAAATTTAGTTGTAGAAGACTTTTTCCTGAAACACAGTTTAGGCTAGTCAGATCAGGCTATAGTATAAGTTACATATATTTTGTGTATGTCTTGAATAGGCTAGTTGACTCATGTGGAATTGTATTAAACAAATGTTTATTTACCTAAATATATCGATTTCAGTTCATAAAAGCAGAAGATTGCTGTAGAAATTTAATTTCAAAAAAATATTTTTTGTCTATACTTTTTAAACACTAAAAACGCAGTTCGCCACATACGCCATGACTGTGACGTCTCTTTGGTAGTAAACAACTAAATGTCATTCATACATAACCTTAAAACTTGTATTATTAAAATTGATAATAAATGAAGAGACTTAAAATATTATTCAATGAGAACTTACATCAAAGTGATCTACGCAAAAATAAATTTTACTATGAGTCGATAAAGTTGCAGGATTCCTTTTAGCAAGTTCTTACGCAATACCTAGTATTGCGTAAGTTAATTTATTTCCGCACTTTAATCCACAACTTTCCTAGAGTCTTCAAGGATGTGTTTTTACATTCTCGTACAATAAAATAATGATAATTACTATATTTTTCGTGGTATTTATTAGAAATCATGTTTTTTCTATTATATACTCAGATAGGTCATTTTCTACGTGCTTACGAGTTTTTGTTTACTACCGGCTGACGCCATACTATAGATAATCTATAAACTAAAATGGCCAACGGCGTTTTTTTATGTCCATGAAAAGTCTATTTTAAAATTAAAGATTTGTAGCTTTCTAGGTCTCATAAAAATACGATACATTTTTTTCGGCCTAATAGAACATTTATTAACCATTTAAACCTTTTTCCAAAAAGGGTCAACTAGCCTATTATGTAATCTATTGTAAACTGAAATTCAACAAACATTTATTATTATTATAGTAAACTGAATCATGTGCTCATCATAGAATGCGCTAGAAATTTAACAACATCATAGACATCGAATTACTTTGTAACAATAGTTCACTTACGACTTTCGCTTTTCATTACCTTCGCCCAGACAAGTTTGAAGCGACAACGATTAAAAAAAAAACTTTTTTACTTTACTTAAAATATAAACAATCAACAAAAAAATAATTTTATAAAGTAATAACAAAAAAAACCTAACAAGCACAATTTTTTGTCAACGCCATCTATCGTGATTTCATGGGAAAACAGATAAATTATAAGGCTTCGTGCTTCATCTCGAGGGTTTCATCTTATATAGGATTATCTCCAGTCTTCTAGATGAGGAGCTAGCGAACAAAACGGTATAATTACATAAAAATAAATTTTACAAGAGCTATATAAAACTGAATGACATACATCCAGTGAGGTTATGGCGTGGTTTTCAATTCATACGTTTAGTAATTTTAACACTGATTTAGGCGGTTTTGATTGAAAATTCATTGAGATTCAAATTCAACAGGACCGAAACCTCCGGACTGTAAAAAAAAAAAAAGTTTGACCAGATGCGTAATAGGCTAGTTGACCCTTTTTGGAAAAAGGTTTTAAATGATTAATAAATGTTCTATTAGACCGAAAAAAAATGTATTGTATTTTTTTTAAACCTAGAAAGCTACAAATCTTTAATTTTAAAATAGACTTTTCATGGACATACAAAAACGCTGTCGGCCATTTTAGTCTATAGATTATCTATGCTATGACGTGAACTGTGGTAAACAAAAACTCGTAAACACGTAGAAAATTACTTTTAACTGAGTTTATAATAAAAAAAAAACATGATTTCTAATAAATATTACTAAATGCACTGTACTTACATAGATGCCTTGTCGTTTCTCTGCTCCGCAGAGCAGAAATCGGGGTTTAGTGCAACAAATTCACCAACCATCAATGCGTCAATTCTTGGCAGATTTGTGCTTTCTGCTTTCACAAAGCCGGTTAGTTTTGTCAAAAAAAAAACTAAGTTTACTGTTTTTTTCTTTCATAAAGTTAAATGTGTTTTAAGATAAAAGTCAGACGAAAGAATCCACCTACAGTAACACGCGAATGACATTTAGTTGTTTACCACAAGAGACGTCAAAATCATGGCGGATGTGGCGAACAGAGTTTTTAGTGTTTAAAAAATATAGACTAAAAAATATTTTTTAAAATTAAATTTCTACAGCCATCTTCTGCTTTTATGAAGTGAAATCGATATATTAAGGTTCCTTAGACTAAATACTTTAAGAAATAAACATTTATTTAATATAATTCGACATGAGTAAACTAGCCTATTATACCGTTTTGTTCGCCAGCTCCTCAATTATTAACATCTAATTAAATACTCCCATATATCCATTACGGAAGCACTACAAACCCTTTATATCATAGATATTTGGTACAAAGATCACTATCTCCGAATGCGGTTCTCTGAAATGACGGGCACCAGGTGGCAGCACTGAGACGAAAAGCCTGCTCATTCGTCAAATCACCTATGACGTCATAGTCTGCGGATCAATAGGGTATTTGACAGTATTAAAAATATAGTGCCAATTGTTAGCATCTGTGTTTAGAATGAATATTGGCAGGGATTTTTACTATTTTTACAAAAAAAATATTCATAATTTTACTAAAAACTCACGAAAAAGATAATAGGTTTCTTATCTATTGTCACGTGACCCAAAACGCTTGGGATTGGCGGAGCCTAAAATGACGTCACACGCAAGTAAACTTCCGGTTAAAGTGACATTACATTTGACGTTTTAATAACAGTAGTGTGACGTCACACACTAGTAAAACGCTATATTGTCCAGAGAAACGTTTTCGCGGCAATTTGAAAATGGAGTTTTTGACATGGTTATTTTTACTGAAATATACAACAGAATTATGAATATCCACTTTTTACGGACTCCATAAACATTATTCAATAACGTGAGATCGTTTTCTAAAACTTGTCAAATACCCTATTACTACAATCCTGGTGCGTAAAAACTTCATACAAAAGTCCTCAAGTCACAGTGGCCAACTGGTAGGGTACATTTTCCTAAATACCCTCATTAATACCAAGTTAAAATGAAAAATCACTTTTTCAACAGTTAATTATTCTGTTTATTTCTCTTATCTATCTATCTCTTTCTGTCGCAAACGCTCATTGCTTTTTAGAGTGAGAGGTACCAATATGAGCCAGTCTCTATGCTGCGAACAGACTTTATATAAAATACATCGTTCTGAAATTGATTTTATTTCTATTTAGTAATAATATAAAACATTTGGGTAATATATTATTTAATTTCAGTGAATGTGAATCAATTTAGTTATGAAATGTAACTGTTATTAAGCCTAGCCTAAAATTATATTATTATAATGCAATAGAAAGAGATTGACAACTAAAAGCTTCACAAAAATAACTTATAAATAAATGTCTTTTACAACACAAAAACATAACTAATAAATAAAAACTTTCACATCTAAAGAAATAAATCAATTCTCTTACAAACCATGGACTATTATTTTATCTATGTGTAACAGAAATAGGCTTAGTACTAATCACAGCAAGAAATTAAAAATTAATAAACAATACGATATTTTTTATAAGTCCAAAATAACCGTTTGGCGCGCAAACCTATCAACCTACAAAAGAACGAATGAGTGAATGGTAGTAACTCGGTCAAGTTGTATTTAAGACATAGGGAATGGACTAGGCGTTCCCTGTCCAACTGTTAACTAAATCTTGGGGTTTAGTTCGTTTAGATATTGGCTACTACATGTGTGATATTTAGCTATATTGATAAATGAATTCATAACGATAGGCTAAAATTATTAATTATTTATTTATATTTTTTTCAGTTATAATAATTATAACAGTTGATTAGAATGCCATAGCGTATTCACATAATAAACATGATATTGAATCATAACCCCTTTCGTCAATACTTAAAATGAATTGGAGAAATTTGTTAAAATAAGATAACAGTGGCTCTTACTTTCGGGATTGCAGACTTCGTTTCGAAGAAATAACACATCATTTAGGATTGTGAATTTCTGATTAGGTAATACTTTTGATAAAATTACACCACAGCACAGGCAAACTAGTTTCATTTAAATTACTACCTATTTTGCTATCGTAGTACTAGACCAGACTACCAATAGGATAATAGGAGATTTTTCATAGGATGCTAGCAACTAATGCATGCCAGCATGCAAAAGTGCAAACAAATATGTTCTAGATGCGCTAACCTAAATAGTCAATTAAAAAAAACTATTTATGAGTAAACCTAATCCAATAATAGTTAATACTGTTAAAAAAAAATTAGGACAGATGAATATTTTTTTGTATCGTTATGATAAATGAGCTAACTAATATAACGAACACCCACTTACGAACTTTTGGCTGCACCACCGTGCTTTTCCTATCATTCTATACGTCTGAAGGTCAGTTTCAGTAATCAAATTCCAGTAACAGATAGGCCTATTAGAGCTTTGTTTTCTATATAATATAATATATATATATATAACAAATGTTGCTAAGAAACCGAACCAGATTATATTTTACCTTTTACTGAAGGTAGATTTTTGAAATACATATTTATAAGTTTGCTGTCAGCTTTCAATTTGACGACACTGTATAAAATAAAAACGGGGAAACAGCAGCCCTTGCTGAGTTTTTTGCCGGTTCTTCTCAGTACAAGGTCTCCCGCTGTGAATTTGCAAACCGATGGCGTAGATTTAGACTTTCACATGTGCTTGTAAAAGCCCAAACTGAATAAATGAATATTGATTTGAAACCGGTTGTAAGAGTTGTAATAAAATAACTCATACACCAATTTCTCGTGACTTGCCCTAAACTCCGAGACACCATTTTGGCGCGCAATTCTATCACAAAAGAACGAATGAGTGAATGGTCTAAGTTGTAGCCCGATCCAATTGTGCCAACTGATGGGCCAACCTTTCTTCTCTCGCTCTCCTAGCTTGTCCCAAAGCTCTCTTCTCCGCGAATTTGTTTATGAAAGTTTCTACTGGTATTTTTCCTGTTAACAAAAAATAGATTACTGAAAAATTGCTTAGACTAAGATAGCACTTAACGAAAAAATGTAAAAGGGGCCGTTGGTAGCTTAACGATAAGCTGTCTTTTCGGAATATGTTGCAAGCGTGAGGTGGGTAGCCTGCCGTTATTATTTCCGGACAAATCTTGATCTCAGTATCAGAGACTGACGTTAAAGAATATATAGCTATGGGAGTGATATTTACGCGAATGTTTATTTAACTTGCCGCAACAGTATATAGATTTACTCACAGTACAATCAAACGCAACATTATCTTATTCAATAGTCACACTTTAAATATTTATCTAAAGAAAAAAATGTTTACTTTATACAAAAATGTTGGCCACAAAATTAGCGCGTTTTGTGACTTGGGTGTCAATGACGTCAATTAATGTATTTGTGTAATATTTGTTATTATATTATTTACTGACGTCATTTAGTTTTACGCGGTTAAAAGTCAATGACGTATTTATGTAACTTTACACCGATTAAATTAAATTTGTAAACATTGGGCCTAATTGTGGGAAGATCGCGTTTGGACTTTATTACCACTTAACATCAGGTAGGGTCATTTATCTACCTGGTTTAAAAAAAAAGATCTTTTAAACTCAAAATTCAATTTGACAACAACAGTCTCTCCTGTTCTCCTTGTTCTCAATAGAGGATGGTAAGGACAAACTATCCAATGAGTATCCAAGATTTTTTAAAATTAAATTTGTAAACTTTAAATTTCTTTGTTTTGTTTTCTAAGCATTAAACTGCTAGATGTTTAAATCTTAAAAAATAAAAATATAACTATAATTTCTATTTCTTCTTTCAAATGTTTAATACTTGTAAAGGTATTCATTTGACATTGTGGGTTACCTACAATGCGAAGAGATGGCGCTGCCTTGCAGCCTAAAGCTAGAGAAATATTCGCCACGGCCGTCAGGGCCGTAGTAGCATAATGGTCAGTGCATTCGCCCACATAGCGATAGGTGCGGGTTCGAGTCCCGTCTGCTGCCTGGTCCGCGTGGATTTTTTCTAGTAAACCTTTTTTAGATCTGAATATCGTTTTAAATTTTTGGATGATCTTCCCAGAATTGCCCAATAATTCTGCGAAGATCATATAAACTTTTCATTCTCTATAGAGCATGATAAGACATACTATTGTCACAAACGCTTTGAACCAAAACCGCGAATATACTGGAAACAAAATTAATCAGAGCACCGCGGCTTGAGGCCGAACGGTGCGGTTCATTATAATGTGTGCCTTATGCAATGCAGCGTAAGGGTGAAAATGCCACGACACCTGCATATGTTTACAACTCATGCGCGATACCTATGTATAACTAGGTACATGTGTTAGTTAACTCCTAATGTAACTTGACTTTTCTGGAATGCGTCAATTTTGCGTATGTAAGCGCGTTCGGTGCCGGGCTATAAACAGTTGAGTTTGAACTGCGATTTCGGCACTTTGATCGCCTTTATATTCAAAGGCAATCCCACAATGTCAAATGAATACCTTACATGTATTAAAAATTAGAAAGACGAAATAGTAATTATTGTTATTTTTTAAGCATTTAACGGCTAGATGTATATATCTAAAATGTTACAAGAAACTATTTCACGAGGCCCAGGCAGCAGACGGGACTCGAACCAGTACCCTTTGCTATCCAGGCGAATGCACTGAATATTATGCTACTGCGGGCCTGGTGACCGTGTCGAATTTTCTCTAGCCTTTCAGTGCATTCGCCCGGATAGCGAAGGGTGCGGGTTCAAGTCCTGTCTGCTGCCTGGACCGCGTGGACTATTTCTAATAAATTTTTCTTTAGATTTAAATATTTAGCAGTTACAAGCTTAAATAAAATAACTGCAGTGTTCAAGTGTGATTGTTTTTTTGTTGTGTAGTATATTTATATTATAAATATTATCTTTTTTAGTTTTTTTTAATAGAAAAAAAAATATTTAATGTTTCTTTTTTATTTCTTTTTAATATCCAATTTTTCGCATTTCGTTTGGTTTTCGGACATCACTAGGCGCTGGCTAAAAATCAGCGCTGCTGTGGTATTGCGAAAATATTTGAGACAGCGAGTTATCTTGTGGTTTTTTTGTAATCATTTCATGTTTTTCTATCTGTCTTGTTTTTAATGTATGCTGTGAATACCAATAAAATGTTTTAGTTTTTTCTATCCCTTCATATGGTTTGTTTAGTTTTAATAACCTATTCCCAGAAAGAATCATGACCTAAGGTCATGAGCTGGAGTTGCCTAGATATATTTTATTTATTAATTAATACAAAATTATGATAAAGATATGATATTGACGACCTCCGTGGTCGAGTGGTTTGTACGCCGGGTTTCATGGTGTCGCCGACTCGAGAGGTCCCGGGTTCGAATCCCGGTGGGGGCAAATGTTTGTGTGTTGAATACGAGCATTTGTACTCCAGTCATGGATGTTTAATATGTATTTCTATATAAATATACTTATATATGTACTGTATGTGTATTCTATCCGTTACCCTAGCATCCCATAACACAAGCCTTACAGTGCTTACTTTGGGGATAGGCTAATTGGTATGAGTGTAAAAAAAAAACATAACTTTTGCTTAGAAATGTAACTAGAATCAGCGTTTTATAAATACTGGAGATAGATTTTATTGAAACTGATTAATAATGATGGTCCTTGCCAAGCGCTTTTAATTGCCCTGTTTGTCTTTATTTTGAGTATTATGTAGAAATTATTATAATGTGAAATTTAGCTAGTAAGGAGATCATTTTAATAAATAAGAAGAAAAATATTTGAAGAACCAAGAACCTGTTTTTGGAGGTTGTTGAAAATATGTTTCAAAAGTCAAAAATTTCATAGCTATTGCTACAACTACCTATTGTTGCATGATACATCCATCCTAATGATGGTCATACATTTCAGCTATATTTCACATGCAACTCTATGGTAGCTAGCAATTTCTGATGATTAAGTTATTCTGAACCCTAAAGCTTACCTAATAAGAACAGTTCTGCTATAACTTCCGCTTCCTCATCCGCTTTCAACGCTGCTTGCTTCAAACATTCCCTTATCCGATGTGGGTCATACATTTCAGCGAGTTTCTGGTGTTTCCTGTGCAATTCTTCATAGTTCATCTTCATTTGCACTATGGTCGAGATGCGATCTATGACGTCAGTTTTCAAGTCGTCTAAAGCCTGCTGCTTGGATAGATTGTCCTGAGCTATCTCCTCTATGCTACTCATTAGCTCTTCCGTCTCCAGGTCTAGTTTGATTAGCTGCGGATTGTTTTCCAAAAGTTTGTCCTGTGAAATCGAAAATGACTTCAGGTAAACATTTATGTAAATAAACATTTTCATTAATTTCACTCATTTTCAATAATTTCATTCATTTAAGAAAAACATTAATTTCATTCATTCATTCAACAATGGACATTGAAACAAGTACAATCCAGAACAGTGGTCTAAAATAGCAAGATTGCATGTTTTGTGTCAATAATTTCATTCATTTAAAAAAAAATATTAATTTCATTCATTCATTCATTCAACAATGGACATTGAAATAAGTACATTTCAGAACAGTGGTCTAAGTGGTGTTTTTTTTATATATGTATCAGCATTATGTATTCTATACAATACCCTAGTATCCTATTTAACTAGCCTTACAGTGCTTATTTTGAGACTAGCCTAATGAGGATCCATAAGGATTTTAGTCGAGAATACAGAGGCAAGGATTCGATAAAATACAGTGGTTAAATTTTTGTTCTACAATAAATATTGACGAAGTTATTACCAAACCGAATTTTTGGCTGGCCGCATGGTAGCTGCGACGTCACAAAGCTCCAGCGCTCGGGCGCGAGCGTGCGTAGAAGCGCTATTGAAGTTCGACCAGAGTGAACCCAGATCGAGCTCTGTGATATCACACGTTATGGCCGCCGGCCATATTGGCTACCATCGCTACCACCAAAATCGCAACAAATGAACCGATTTCGATGATTTGAAAAGTCTATTAATTAAAAAGCTTATTAGATCATTATATTGTTCATTTTGAGTTGATTTGCTGACCAAGTAATGATACTCTTTGGTGTGTGTTGGAAATATTTTTTAATTTATTTTAGTTAATTACTCATTAAAACTTACTTGCAGATCTGTATTTTCTAGCACCTCCTGTAATTCATCAACAGTCAGTTCGCTCAGCTCAGGAAACATCATGGAGTGGGCACTGGTATTAGGCTGAGGACTGACATCACTCGACTTGTCATCACTACTGACAAGATTGGGCAAGGAGCGTTGAAACTCCCTGGTGATGGCTTGAACGACACGACCTAGGTCCGAGTGCTGTGTGTAGTTCAACAAGCCTGGAGCTCCAACTACCTAAAACGTATCGTCATCATCATAAGCCTATTAATGTCCCCACTACAGGGAAACAAGCCTTTTATATGGAAGGAATAGGACTGCAGATGCAGCTGAGACCAATGCATTAGCAAGACAAGGAAGAGCTAAAGATTGTTAATTTTTGGTCATCCTAACCAATTGCATTGTCAATTGCCTAACAGGAATGCTGGCTATTGCTAATTTTGAATAACAAAAAAATGCTTACGAATTCATTTTGTTATTTCTGACCCCCCAAGGTTTACAAATACTTAACGCTCATTTTCTTTAATACTGTTATTACCAAAAGAAAACAACGAGAGCGAGGTATTTCAAAACCTTCAGGGACAGAAATAAAAAATGAAATTGTATGCAATAGTCATAGCCATAGCAACCTCGTTAGGCAATAGAGCTCACCTAATATTTTTAATATGAGATAAAATGCAGATGGCAGTTGCAAAAGATAGCCTTTTTATTCAGAGTGGCCTACACTGAATTTCTTATACAGAAACAAAATTTTACTAAAACTAAACTTGGCCCAAACTGCCAATTTTTCCCAGTAAACGCTTAGGCATAACATTCTTATAATACTTAAAATAGATGAATGTAAAAAGTTTCATATAACTTTTATATAATTCCTATATTTATGATTAGTGTCGATTCTGGCATGATTCTCTAAACCTTAACTAAAATTTGACAACAGTGTATCCTTGTCATTCTCCATTCAGAAAAAAAAGAACAGACTAGTGTTAATTTAAATAAATAAACATTTTCATTAATTTCACTCATTTTCAATAATTTCATTCATAATATATTCATAAAGAACAGACTAGTGTTAATTTAGTTTTAAGTTTAAGAGAATCACACCGAACACCATTGTATTGATAAAATAAAAAATTCAATAAAAATACTTGTATATTAAATTTAAGTATTGTTATAAATTTTAAAGGTCTGTTTGATATACTTTGATATCTAAATCGGTAAAACTGTACTTTCTAGGCCCAGGAGGGGACACTTTACAATTTTTTGTTGAAGAGGTCTTTGTTATCAATATTTTCAGCATTATGATCACAACACTAACCCAAACATTAACTCGTAGGCCACTTATTTAAAGGTACTTTAGTACCATGCATATAATTACTAAATCTTACTGTCATCATAATTCATAACTGATTATTTACTCAATATTTTTTGATAAAAGAACTTACCTGATTTGAGTTCTCAGCTATCCACGGGTGAGGTATAGGGGGATTTACAAATATAGAAGGCTTTTCATTAGGAAACTCAGGGCCCAATACAACATTCAAACTCATATTCTTTCCGTCAACAGAGAATTCTACTCTGTATTCACTGTTCTCGTTAATTTCAACCACATGCTCGTTAAATATCTTCAATGTGTCTATTTGTCTTTTTCTTACATCTTGTTCCGTGTAATAAGTGCGAGGTAACATTTTTAAGATGATCCTGGGATATACTGTACTTCCAGGGCCCAAAAGTAAAAACTTCACAGTTTTGTTGGTTGTAATTTCGCATTTTTGTTGTTAAAACGGTTTCTGTTAACCACATTATTAAAAAAAATGTCACACTTATGCACTGGTAGTTTTTTGGAAAAAAATATTGAAAATTTTTACTTTTCTTATCAAGTGGTGATACTTCACACTAGGTTAGGTTAGGTTAGTGTTGTGACCATAACGCGCGAGCCGAGCGAGCAAAGCGAGCGTGCCGCGGCAGCGGCCGGCGAAGCGCCAGAAAAAAAAACTGTTAAAAAGACCTTTTCTACAAAAAAAAAACAAGTATCACCTTTTGGGCCCTGGAAGTACAGTTTTACCTGATCCTGAAACGAGTTGAGGATTGTGGGATCGTAAACACTCTAAATCACAACCAAAGTAACTGGGAACTACTCAAATAATAACATAGATCTAATTAGATGCTTTGTAAAAATCTAAGGTTATTACTCACTTTATTCAAGTGTATGTACTAACACTATAAATATTTTTTACAAAATCCTAAACATTAATCAAAATTACACAAAACCAACTGAATTTATTTATTCTTTCATAAATATAATTTAAATCGATACAATGAATAAACATCAAAAAAATGTGATGTGACGTTTGACGTGCAATTCTTGATTAGAACAAAAACAATCATTCCATAGTGATTGGATGAAATTAAAGTACATTTTCTCTGATTGGCTAAAACGAGCGTCATAGATTCTGTAATAGAAAACAAGGAACGCGTGATGACATTTTACTTTTTTTTAACAAAAGAAATAGAGTACATTGAGGCTACAAATAACTTCTTTATATTTTATCTTTATTATAAAATATAATGAGATAAAAATAAGAGAAGTTAGCTTTCTTCAAACCTTTACTTAATCTGCATTTTCTACTTGCGGTTGTAAGTATTCTCACACTTGATATCCTTGGCCAGGGCATGCTACGTCTTTCTTCAAAGTTCATTGATTTAATTTAGAGCATTTGGTAATAATGTTACAGTCAGACATACAGACTTAATTTTTCATATATTAGTAAAAAGTATGGATCATAGACACGGAGATAGGTGTACTGGAGCATGACAAGGTCTTGCCTTCCATTTGTTTGTAAGAATTATATTACCGAAAGCCAATCTTTACCTGTCTTAAATTAAACCTAAATGTCTTTACTAAATTTTAAGCTATTTTTAAAAAATAATCAGCGAATGGATTGGTCCGCGTGGATTTTTTTGTAGTAAAATTTTCATTAGTAAATAAGTTACGCATTTCGCAGCTTCAGTTATTACACGGTGGATAGAGCTACGCATTTAAGAGGGGAGGCGCACTATGTATATCCCATACAAACGTTCTCAACTGATTTCTCGTTGATTTTTATCACTAAAGAATTGATTTTCATACATAAAATATATTTTTACTCATTTTATGCGCCTATGTCTTCCTTTTTTCGATAACTTGTGTTTCATAGAAACTACAAGCCCTCGAAAAAGGTCAAAAGTAATCCTTTTTTATCACCACTAAAGAGGTCTAGTATGGAGATTTAATAAGCATTTACAAAAAACACAAAACAGAGGCATAGTATAACTACACATTATTCTTTGTGTAAAATTTCTTTAACATGTATCTATTTTTCGAGGAGGAAATCGTCGAGAGCCAAACCTCGAATTTTGCAATTTTTATACGCAATTTTCAGTGTTGACTACTTTTGACTTGACACCAATATTAACTTTTGCTCAGCTACCTATGGCAGTTGAGATGGCAGTTGCAAAATTTGTTTCGCCGCCATCGAGCTCGGGCTATTCACCGATGTTCTACTGTTTGTTCCACTATTATAACCATAGAATTTGTGGTAAAATACGAGTGCTAAATGGAAGTAGCCTAAGTGTAAATAAACCGAGTCGAGTATATTCAAAAAATTCCAATTTAAATTTGAATATCATTTATTCAGTCTAGGCTGTTACAAGCACTTGTGATTGTGAATGTCGAAAAGCTACGCCATCTGAGAAAACCCGGCATGAAACTCAGCAAGGGCTGTTTTTTTCTCCCTGTTTTATGTCATACAGTGTCGTCCAATAGATAGTTGACATCAAATTTGCAAACATGTGTTGAGGTCGACCACCCATCACATAATGTCAAATATGTAACAATAAACAATCAACGAATTTACTAAAAATAAGTGCAAAGAAGAGTCCCAAAATAGCAAGAAACAATTTTCAAAACAAAATGAACAAATATATGAAAGGGAGTAAGTGCAAGGTTCTCTTCAAAACTCTTTCTAAGGCTGAGAGCCTTAGTTTTTGAAAAATTATCTACAGGTAAAATTATCATTTAATATAATTGGCCGTTTTATCATTCAATATATATGAGTATGTATTCGGGTAGTTTTAGTATTGGTTACCCAATACCGTCTTCCAGCCCGTACTCCAGTGTCTATATTGCTTCGGGTGCCCGAATTCGAGTAATGTATTTCGTGCACCCGAATCCGGGCTAACGACCTATCTATCTAATGCAATTGAGCCATAATGGTACCTATAAAAAAAAACATTACTATGGAATTTTTTCTCGGAAAATGCAAACGTGTCGTCACATTTCTCGAGCTTTTAAGGGTGCAAAGTGTTTTATCGTAAGTTTCGGGAAATTACAACTATCGAAAGAAAATGGCAAAATTGAAAGAACCTAAATAAAAAGATCTAAGTACACTTTTGTATTAAGCTTTTAATAAAAAATCGAAAATTTTGATTTTCCGGTTATGCAAAAAAATGAGAATACAAAGTACTTAGATCTTTGAATTTTCGATATTTTTTCGATAATATGTTGTTTCCCCGAAAACAGTCATGCATTTTTTAATAATATAATTTTTCCTTAACTGGTTTTCACGACATTTTTTACCTTTAATTTTGCATATTTCATCTGAATTATATTCACTAACTTTGATCTAATAAATATTAAAATAGCTCTAAATGTTACAAAGATATTAGCTTCAAAAAGAAGAAGTTGACATAGACAAATACTGTTGATGACGCACTGTAATAAATATGGGTATGGAAGTATAGAGGAGTTGACGTACCCACGACAATTGTTTTCTTTCACTAAAAATTTAAAAAATCAAAAAACCCGACTGCTTAATTATACTTCAAATAAAAACTGAAAAGAAAAAAACAAGTCCAGTAGTCTATAATTCTGTTAATAAGGAACAAAGCTACTTTAACAGTCGGGACCCATTAGATATTCAAGAATACATAATATTTTCAACAGTGGGTCCCGACTGTTAAAGTAGCTTTGTTCCTTATTAACAGAATTATAGACTACTGGACTTGTTTTTTTCTTTTCAGTTTTTATTTGAAGTATAATTAAGCAGTCGGGTTTTTTGATTTTTTAAATTTACCTTTTTTATTTCACACTTTTTAGTTAGTTAGTATTTTAAGACGGTATATACCGTAGTCTTGTTACTTCAGTAAGGGAATTAATATCGCGGGAATTATTAAGTACCTTGCGTCGGTCTAAAAGATTGATTTATTAAGACATATAAAGACTTTACCAGCGGGGTCAAGGCTACAGATGCACCTCAATTTTCGCAAAAATGTGTGAATTAAATCAAGTTGTTACATAAATATCTCTAATGTATGTAAATTTTATAGTAAACTAGCACTTATTCATCTTTTGTTTATATATATATTTTTTAATAGTTTAGCAGTAAATATAAAATTCATTTACTTTTATTCGTCGACTATTTAAAATTGGCAGTGGCTGCATTGTCATGTCAATGCCGGACGTCTAAGATTGTGATATACACAAATTCAGTGTCAGTACCTAGTCTCATAATTTGATATACCTACATAATTCACAGAAACCCAATATGTAGATGCCAGAAGTTAACTTCAAATGTTTTTAATCATCCTATATACAATACCAATCAATGACGTTTATGTCGCAGGTTGAAGAAAACAGTAATTCCCGTCTGTTGTTTTGGACAATGGTGGCAACTGCCTTAGATCACTAAATTAAATAATTATGCAATCACCAAAGCAAAGTTTATAATATTTTATTAAAATAAAGGCGCATAATAAAATTTTCATAACGTTAGGTAGAGCACCATAGCAATCTCATTTATTATCAATTTATAGTTCTCTTTGTAGTTTTCTTTTAAAGCGTTCACATTTAACAGGTCAAAGACTTTGTGTTCGACCCTTTTTTATTGGTAGTGTAAAGCTCGAATGAAGAGTACTCCCAGTAGTGCAATCATGGCAATTATTTTCCATTTTTTTTTAAATACCGAATGACGTATCACTGTTAAGCACAAATGCTAAGTAACTTTTACAAATATAATCAAATAAACGTTTTACTTACTTTATTTTTAAATCTTTTTCATCAATTAAATACTTATCTTATTCTAACTATCTATAATAATATAATAAAGAGGCAAGATTTGTATGTTTGTAACAAATAATCTGTCAAACTACTAAACCGGTTTCAAATATTAATTCAACATAAGGTAGCTACATTATTTATTATAACATTTTTCTTTATTTAAATACATTTTGTCCAAGTTACATAGGCTATATTTTATCCCGATAAATAAATTTCGCCCGTACAATGCCCGGGAGGATCACTAATAAGTATAATATAATATTATAGATGCGAAAGTGAGTTTGTTTGTTGGGCTTCCGTGCCCTAATAACTAAACCGAATATAATGAATTCCCATATAGAAGTAGATGGGAACTTGGTTCTTAGCTACAACATCGCAATACTTATAGGCGTAGGGTGATGAAAGGGGTGATTTACCTAAAAAAAATCAGAACTAGAACTAGCTACATTAGAGCAGAATTATTACAAAACCTATATTATCGCGAGCTGATTAATAAATACAGGGATTCCAATAAGTATGTACTTACTAGCGAAAAATGGGTTATTTGTCATTATATTAAGTAAACTTTTTTTTAACATTAAGTAATATTGTTAAAAAAATTAAAAACAGTAAAATTCTGAGTTTTTCATTAAAATTCAATAATCATAAATACCTATTATGATAATATATTTTTCATCATTTAATAAGAAGGAACTGTATCACAGTTTTATTGTTAGTACTTCGTATAGGATCAGATACTGCGAATACCCCATTTTTTTTCTTTTACATAGTACACCGCGCTATCGCTTTGTCATCGTTGTAACTTTTTAAATATTTGTCGAAATGACATAGTGTAAGAAGCAAAGTTTATCGTCTTTAAATATCAAAAGCGAGAAAAGTATTTGTTTTGATAAAAAATGATTTGTTAATACAAAATGTGCATTTTGGAAATAGATATCAAATAATATTTTAGTTTTGATTCACTATTTTAGCGGTAATGACTTACATATTAAAAATAGATATATGGTGTCACGGACTTTTTTTTAGAACTATTTAAGAGATACATTTTCACTCTATATTACATTCATGTAACTTTTATTGTTTTTACAGTGCAGGCTAAAATGGCTCGCAGATGGGAGATTTTTTTCCGTCTTATGTGACACTTATTGTTATATATTGCCCAATTCACTCAATAACTACATAAATTATTATATATATGTAATTATCATATATGAGCTATATTACTGTTAAGTTTCATCAAAATCCATTCAGTATTTTTA